TACTGGGACTACTTATACCACAGATGGAACTGGAACTAGTTATACCACAGATGGCACATGTTCAAGTTACACCACAAGCGATGCTTCTTCTACAACTGGCCAAAGTTGTTCCACATCCAGCTCAACAAACACATGTTCAGGCAGTTCTTCATGGACCCAAAGTGACACCCTGACTGGAAGTAGTAACACTGAAACCACTGAGTCGGAAAGTGATATCACAATGGTGAAACAATCGATGCAGGACTCACGTGAGCCAACAGCCTGTGTTACTACATCACGTTCAAGTACAACAGAGCAGTTAAATACATCAACTAAAACGCCTTCTCCAATACCTGAATTGGAATCAACACATAGTGTTAATGACGATGACCAAGGATCTAATTTCACATTCTCTATTAATGACGAGTCTCTTCCAGATAATTCATCACCATCAATGTTATTTAAGAGAGAAAGAGATGAAGTCTCATCTAAGGAAACACCAATGTTACTTAAGAGAGAGATAGATGAAGTCTCATCTAAGGAACTTATTGCTGGAAGTTCTTCATTCCACGAACATACATCACCAGCCCAGTTGGAAATGGGAATTACACAAGGTTTTTCCGTATCTCCAGTTTCATTCTCATCATCTGTAGAAGCAGTCATTGATTCTGATGAAAATGTAGAAATAGATCTTTCACAAAATGTGTCAGAGGAGCTTTCTAATTGTATGTCATCGAACCAAAGTCTTCGAGAGAACTGTTACCCATGACAGTAATGAAAATAGAGAACACAATGAAAACTCAAGCATTGGATCAATTAAAAGCTTCACATCACCACCACAGCTAGCACATCATGTTCTATCAGATGAAAGTGAAGACAACATTGGTATGTATACTGCATCCTCAAAATTGTTACAACGATGTGCTGACAGAGAACACAATGAAAACCCAAGCATTGCATCAATTGGTAGCTTCACATCACCATCACAGCTAGCACATCATGTTCTATCAGATGAAAGTGAAGACAACATTGGTATGTATACTGCACCCTCAAAATTGTTACAACGATGTGCTGACAGAGAACACAATGAAAACCCAAGCATTGCATCAATTGGTAGCTTCACATCACCATCGCAGATTATCATGAAAGAGGAAGAAACAAATGCTATTACATCAGGCGATTCATCGTCCTCTTTAGAGAGTAGAGAAAGCATGACTGAAGGTATAGTTGCAAGTGCTCCAACTATAACTCTTCCATATGACTCAGAGCTTGATGTTGCCGATGATTTCAGAGCAGTTTCTATTGATGCTGGATTGACGTGTTTGAACAGCACCACACTACCACCTATCAATGACACACAATCCAAATCTTTTCAACATGTAGAGGGAATGCAGGAGGCTAATGCAGAAAGAATTCCAAAAACATTTGTGCATCCAGAAAGTGCTTCTGCCATTCCTGTATACACAACCATGGTGTGTATGCCCGCTGGTGGAGATCTTCATAAACCTAAACCAGAATATATGCGTGACTTCATTACTCAGGCCTTAGCATTTGACAAAGGAAAACATCATTTTAGTAGCATGATCCCAAAGATGCATCAGTTGAGTAAAAAGTATGCCACCACTCAGCAACTTAGTGAAGATAATCCTGTCGAAAAATCAGACGAAGGAGAAACTGTTAAATCATTGAAAGAATTGGCTATTCAGGTAAAGTTTATTTAAAGTTGATTGATTTCCCATTCACAGTGAGGTCCCGCGTTATATGTGAAATCGAATGTAAAAACAGTACAAACAAACAGTACAAACAAAGGTAATAGTGATGGGATTTAATAAATATTTTTCGGTTATTTTCACGCCAAATAATGTGCTATACACATTTGATGATGGTCAATTTTGATGGAGTAAGGGTATCTCAATGCAATATTTTTCTCTCAAAGATCAGCATCCCAACATTGAGCTATACAAAAGGAAATTCAAATTCAAAATCAAAGCGATCAAAGTCAACAGGCAAGGTCTGAAAATGAACGAAAAATCGCCTATTTGAAGTTGTATTATAGAATATATTTTGTTGGTAGCTTTTGACAGATGAAGTAGTATGGGCCATATACCAAATGCTACAATTGAAGTAATTGGAAAATATAAACAACCTGACATTACCAAACATTTCCGTAAATTTGGTTATGAGTTTCAGCACCTTAGTGAATCAAAAGTCCAATCGCACTCTTGAC